CTCGGGCGCTCTCCCGGGTCTCTCTGGCTTTCCTAGTTGCTTCTCTCGACTGTCAGTGTCACTCTCTTAGTTGTGCTTTTCCCAGCACCGTGAGAGGGGCTCACATGCTTAGGAACCCAGGGGAAAGCGGCACCGTGAGAGGGGCTTACATGCTTAGGAACCCAGTGGAAAGAGCGCTTTTCCCCTGGTTCAACCAAAAGAAAAAGGAAAAGTCCCAGGGCAGGACTCTGATTGGCTTGTGCAAACGACAGGCCCATGCCTAGGGTGTAAGACCGGGCCTGTTTGGATGGATACCCACTTCCTGACCACCCTCGGAGGTGTGGGTATAGAGTCATATACACACAGGAAGAGGGTCCCTTCCTTCCTTTTTTTTTTTATCCTCACCCGAGGATATTTTTTCACTTTTTGTTCAGATAGAGTGGGAGGGAGAGAGAGAGAGAAACATCGACGTGAAGGGACACATCGAGTGGCTGCCACCCACACGACCAACCAGGGCCGGGGACAAACTGCAACCGAGGTACGTGCCCTCAGCGGGAACCGAACCCGGGTCTCTCCGGACCGCAGGCCGACACTCTAACCGCTGAGCCAAACCGGCCAGGGCGGTCCCTTTTTTTCTAACCAAATAGTTCGTGTGGTCAGTTTTCTTAGAAGAGGTTGGAGAAGCACAAGAGAAGCTAGAATTTTCAGAAAGATTTTGTTAATGATTGGATACAGGGTAGCCACTTAGAAAGAGGCTTTTGAACAGTCCAAGGGAGGGGTGTAAGGCTATGAACTGAGGCACAGGAAGCAGAGATGGAGAGGTGATTTGACATTCAAAGCAGTTAAGAGGTAGCATTCATGGAATTATAAACTAGGAATAAATAAACAAGTTAGCTGTGTGAACACCAGCCCAGTAAAACAGCTCTCTGCTTTGCACGTCTGTTCACCATGCTGCATGCAGTGTTGAAGCCTGCTCACTGCACTGCACGCAGTGTTGGAGCCTGTTGGAACCTGTTGGGGCCTGTTCACTGCACTGCACGCAGTGTTGGAACTTGTTGGGGCCTGTTCACTGCACTGCACGCAGTGTTGGAGCCTGTTGGAACCTGCTCACTGCACTGCATGCAGTTTTGCATTTTACCGTTTTGCTTCTTCATTTACATAGTTACTGCCATTTGTTCAGTCACCTGAACATTTTCTGTCTAGACCAAAGTAAGAAATACATGGTTATTGACACTTTGTCTCTTCAGTCTGCTAAACACAGAACAGGTTTTCTAAATGCCTCTCTCTCCTGCCTCCACACATAAGCATATAAAAAACAGCAGTCTCCCTGGCTCATGTCTGATCACTCATGGCGGGACGGCAGGGCTGCTGGGACTAGGACTCTTCATTGGTTTATCCATGAATAGAATTGTTCTGTCAAATGGTACATTCCGCAGGCTAGTTTAACATGATTACGGATTTATAATAGATGCAGATTGTGGATTTCTCTTTGTGTTGGTTGATGCAGAGGGCTTAATACTTCTTTCTTTCTTTCTTTCTTTCTTTCTTTCTTTCTTTCTTTCTTTCTTTCTTTCTTTTTTGATATTTTGTTCAGATGGAGTGGGAGGGAGAGAGAGAGAAACATCGATGTGAAAGGGACACATCGAGTGGCTGCCACCCACACGACCCAACCAGGGCCAAGGACAAACCACAACCAAGGTACATGCCCTTAGCAGGAACCGGACCCAGGTCTCTCCGGACCGCAGGCCGACGCTCCAACCGCTGAGCCAGACCGGCCAGGGCCCTGCTTTCATATTTAGATCAGGATTCCCACATAATCACGTGAAGCATTTTATTTTTCATAATAAATAGGACCCTTATAGTTTATCCATGAGGTCAAATCAGTTTTCATAATAATACTAAGACTTTATATTTGCCTTTTTAAAAGTTAAATTTGTTGGGGGCCACTGGTTAATGAAATTATATAGGTTTCAAGTAGACAGTTCTGTAATACATCATCTGCATGTACACCCAAAGTCAGATCTGCTTCCGTCACTGTATATTTGACCCCCTCTACTCCCCCACCCTCTTCCCCTCTGGGAACCACTATACTGTTGTCTGTGTCTGTGAGTTTTTGTTTGTTTGTTCGCTTCTTGTTTTTAGTTTTATATCCCACCCACGAGGACAGTCGTATGAGAATATCATGCTGTGCAAAACAGAAAAGTCAAGAGCCATGGGATGTCCTCGCCCTAAGTGTGTTGACATTTGCACAGATGGTGCAAGAGCAGTGGCGGGTGACGCTGCTGGTGCCGCAGCACAGACCGAGACGGCGGCCCGGCCAGCGGCTAGTGCGTTTGAACGGTCACATGCTGCAGGGGGAAAGCCACTTCCGCGTAGGAATGTCCTTGATGAGGCCGAGGGAGTCACTGGCGTTTGACCCTATTCTGTGCGAAGCCGAGGGCAGTGTACCTAAGGCACTTTGGCTCCATACTCAACTCCAATTTGGTTTTACAAACAGCACTTGTACAGTTGTTTGAGTTGTGAGCCCAACTAGGTGCCAGGAGCCCCGTTTTGACTTGAGAGAGTGACTGGCAGCCAGACCGGTTATCCAGACTCGGGTGTTGGCGAGCACGGTTTCAAACACTGAGTAACCCCATCATTGCTGACAGTGTTGTTGCCCAAGAAGAAGATCCAAGTGAAGATGAAGTTCCAAATGGAAACTAGGATTGGAATCTTGGGAAACACGATTCTCCACCTTGAGCCTCGTAGCTTCTTAGCCCTGGAAGGCTATGCGGATGAAATGGGCGCTGACATTAACAAACGTGATTTTCCTCTGTGGTGTAATGAAGCGAGTCAGCATGTGGAAGATCTGTGTAACTCAGTCTGGAATGATCAGTGTGCGATGTTACGAAATCGCGCGTGGATAAACAGTTCATTCAAAGTACAAGACAGACCAGTGGATTTTACCTACCAGGGTAAAAGAAAAAGTTCACTGGTAGAGGTTTGAAATTATGTTATCTCAGTTCCCAGGGTCCTTAATCACCCTTAATTCTTAACTGTCCCTCTAGTCTAAGAAATCCGTCCTCCGTTTGATATTGTGATGCTACTGCCCTGTTTTTCGTCTTTAGTCTCTTGCGTGTCTCCTTTAATGTATCTTTGTTGATTGTCATTCTTCAGTTCCCAAAGTCTAGATATTTTCTCAAAACTCAAAGCTCTTTGTTGCTTTTTGCCCTTCTTTTTGTCAAACAACGGTCATCTTTTCTCATTATTTCAGCTCTAACCTCTGAGCCCCTCATTATATCTCTCGGCGTACCGGACAGCAACTGTACGGGGGCTTCATTCATACTTCAGGGGTCTTTTTCGGCCTATGGATAAGCTCTGTCCTCAAATACCAGTCAGCTCCTGCTGTAAAATTCTGTTTCTATGTTCAAAATAATTCAGTGTCCTTTTCCTGAATTTGTTTTCATTACTTTTTTTTTTTCTTAAAGGTGCTACGTTCTGCCAGTCACTTAGACACAAAACCTTTACTCCATCCTCTTCATAGTCTTGTCGAGTTTTGTCCCGTTACTTTTGTTTTGGCCCCATGTTCTGTTCCTCTCTTCCTCCTTCCTCTGCTGCCATCGGAGCCCAGTTGCACACAGATGTTTCAGAAGCATCTGCTATTCTATCTGTCCCTTATTCTTCCCCTCACACAAGCTGGCCCGTCATTGTCGCACTAGTGATCTTCCCAGAGCACCACTTGGATGCTGTGCTGGATTGCTCAGCCTTTCCAGGGAGTCTCCAGGGCCCCTGGCAGGGTTTCCTTCCTAAGGAAAAATGGATTCCCAGTGTTGACATGAATTATTGTAATTATAATGCAACTTAACTATGTCCAAGTGTAAAACTAAACATAAACTTTTTCACATATAACAGTTGAAAACAATTTTACAAATTCAGAACAAGCAAAGCTATAAAATGGATAAAATTTATAATGTGACAAAGGATGTTTGCCAAAACTATATCATCAAGATCAACGTGAATATGCTACAGACTGTTCAGAGTTTGACAGGAGTCTGTTACACTCTCAAACTTCTGAGGAGCCTTTGTTTCTCCAGCTTGCTCTGATCTCATTTCGCCTTTACTTGTACAAATGTATCACTCGAGAAATAGATCTGTCATTTTTTTCATCCTGCAGCCTGCTACAATGAAAACAGCACTGCTTGGCCGCAGTAACAGTAACACTAAGCACAAGGCACATTCAGGCACTGACACTTATTGGTGATTTGGGTTACTAGGTGAGCATCTAGATGACCCAGAGTATGGGGTGTGTGTGTGTGTGTGTGTGTGTGTGTTTGAGAGAGAGAGAGGGACAGAGACAGAGACAGAGAGAGAATTTTAGTTGACTTGAAAAAATAAAGAAACGTAGAATGTTTTTATAGAAAATAAGTGGAATCTCAAAATCAGTCCCAGACTTGCAGAGTTCACAGATCCCATCATACAGACTTCATCTGTGGGAGAAAGACCAAATTCCTTATGTTGACATCCAGGGCCTTCATTAATTCGGGTTATATTTCTTTTCCTTTTAAGCTTTTTCTTTCTTTTTCTTTTTTGACGTCTTACTGTTGTGAGAACATGTGCTCACTTTTCCCACAATTGTGTGAAGCTTCTGCTTCCTCTTCAGTTATAATGTGGTGTTTCTCCTCCTCTGAACTTTTTGTGTATCCAGTGCTTCGGAAGTTCATTTTGTTCTAATACCAGTTTTAACAGCTTGATTTGCATGTTCTCTACCTCATGGGACTAAAGGGGCCCTGAAGGCAAAATAGTATCTTAAAAGTGTTTTCATCTTCAGGGTCGTTACTGATATCCCTGGGCACTTACTATGCGATTCGAGGGGACAAAGAGTGGTCTGTATCGGATTTCGTCTCCCCTAGCAGAAATGTGCGATGTTTTCATAGAGAGTGTAAGCAAAAGGAAAGTAATTTGACGTAGAAAACCTGTATTTCCAAGCCACTGAAATTCCTTAGAAATGTTGCACTTTTCAGCCATTTGTTCTGCATTTTCAGGACTGCTGGGAAGGATTCTGACGACCATCCGAGATGCAGGTTTTGACGTCTCAGCTATGCAGATGGTACGTACCTTGCAACGGGTCGGGACCTAGAGAGGAATTTTTTTTTTTTATTCTACATAAACTTTAAAGTGTTTTACATTGAATTTTCTCTCTGCACTCAATGCCTTAAAATAATAAGAAAAAATACAATTACTAAGTTTGGTAATCTTATAACCAAAACACTGTTTTGAAATTATGTTACCCATATAATCTTTCCCTGAGAGAATGAACAGTCAAGTGATCACCTGATCTAAGCCTGTGTGGTAGGTTTATACAGTTCTGGAAGCTTTGCTGGCAAATATGGGCTGAAACAATGTATTTAATTTTTACAAACAAATAGAAGTAAGCTAAGTAGTTACAATGAATTTTCTGTTGTCTGGATCGGTGACTAAGAGAAGGAGGAAAGAATCATTTCAGATTTTCCCTGGCCAGGGTCTTTTGCTGGTTTCTGGATTTCCCTCCAGCGTCTTCTTGGAAGTTGGCACATTTCAGCCCCTCTGTAGTTGGCAAAGTGCCCTGACATGCTTCTAGTAAACCATTCACAGAAGAAACAACACCCTCTTCAGTAGCGCTTGTACCTTTGTGTTCCGCTTACCAGTGCATTCGACAGGGAACTGGGTGCAAATCACTGTAGGAGTCAGTGAAGAACGTGGGTTTTAGTGTCTTCAGACCAGCAAGCTTATGCCGTTATGGTAGTGAAATACTGATTTGGGCGCTAAGACTTCACTCAGCTCCAATTATAATTGGTGTCTTCTTCTGAAAAGGAGCTGATTCTGATTTTGATTTCTCTGAAGTCTTGGGATCACCTGGAGTCAGAGATCAGGCACTGAGTGGGTTTGGCCTGTTCTGTGTCCCCGACTGGTAGGAATGCCCACAAGCCAAGAAAAGGTCAGACATTTCCACTGGTTTGCAGAGTCTTCAGGCAAAACTTGGAGACAGATGAGGAAGTGGATAGATGAAGAATCTGACCTAGGGCTATAAAGAAACGGTGAGCCGGAACTGCTCACAGCACCGCTGTGGCAATGGAGTCAAGGTTTGTCCGGCCTTCGCCTGCGGAAAGGAATCGGCGTGGACGCTTCAGCTTTAAACGCTCATCTGAGCCTCGCTGGCTCATCCTGCACCGGCTGGGGAACTGGCCGTGGCAGGCGCTCAGCGAAACAGGAATAATTCGAAATGAACCTGTGGAGGAGGATGGGGATGCAGTGGCAATCACAGCCCTCGGTTTGGGAGTCTCAGAGATCGTCTGGATCCCGGGCCAGCCGCTCTGGGCATGTGACCGTGGCCGGATTCAGGCCCTCTTACCTCCCGTTCTATCAGCTACGCCACGAGAGCATGTTCGCCTCAGCGGACCGGACGCAATCACCCTGCCTAGTGGAAGAATTTCCATTGCAAGAATTGTGGAATTTCGCCCTGGCGATTTGGCTCAGCGGTTGGAGTGTCGGCCTGCGGACCAGAGAGTCCGGGGTTCGGTTCCTGCTAAGGGCACATATAAAAAAAAAAAAAAGAATTGTGGAATTCCCAGTGCACATTACTGGGTATTTAATAAATTGTATCTTCTGTTACTACTTTATTATTATTAATAATACGGGTTGTGTGGACATGGGATAAAAAATCTGAATTCAACCCCCCCCCCGGAGTTATGTTGCTTATGAAATGCCCCCTCCAGTCTGAACCACTGGCCGGCCGAGTGGGCAGCAGTCTCCGCGACTGCCAGTCCTGGCAACGTGGGCGGGTGGGGTGGGAAATAGAATAGGAAATTCCGAGGCTATTTTTTGAAGATATTTAAGGTCTTAGATTTTGAGACACTAGAACTTAGTGAACTTTTATTCCTAAGTTTGAATCCAGCTTGGACAGGAATGACTCTTTGCAGGCTTCGCCTGTAGGCACATCTTACAGCTCTTCCTGGAGCCTGTGCTTCGGCCCGAGCCAGGCCAACCGGGGACTTCCCGGATGCTGGGGGCAAGAGGGCAGGCGTTCGGCCTCTCGACAGAACCTGAAGTGCTTTTCTTTAGCAACAGTGCTTTGTCGTGCCGCCAGTTTATCAATAAACAACACTGCGTTGTACATAAGACTTTTTTATTGGTCGAGAACAAGGTTATATTCAGAGAGGAATATGGGGGGGGGGGAGGGCATGACGATGAGATCAGGCTGAGATGGAACAGAAGTTTGTCAAGGTTTCATGGCTCCTCTGAGTCTTAGCCTCATCTGCAAACGCAGGCTCTTGCCACGACTCAGGTCGCAGGGTCGCTGTGTCCATCAGATGAGCTACTACCGCACGTACGGGACCAAGAACAATGCCTGATACACTGAGCTCTCAGTAATTGTTACACATTTTTATTATTGATGAGCTAATCTTTGATAACACTTGCTTCTGTAAAGAGGTTTGATTTATGCAAGCTTCACATTTTAAAGTAAAGAAAATATGTCTAAGAGATCGTAAATGTTGAGTGCTAAGGGTGGCTCATTGTCTTGGCTTGGTTGGTTGATGTTGGTTTGTTTGTTTTTTAATACAGTTCAACATGGATCGAGTTAATGTCGAAGAGTTTTATGAAGTCTATAAAGGAGTAGTGTCTGAGTATAATGTGAGTATCGAAGTGAACACAAAGCTTTGGTACCGAAAGAAGTTTGTGTGGCTCACATTTTGGGCATCAGTATAATCTTCAATCGTGAAAACATTCCCTAAAGTGTTCGGGATTCTGCCGGTTGCCAGTGGTGATGCCCAGTGACAGGCATTCTTTCCGCTGAGAGCCGCCGGGTCTGTGTCAGAGACAGGATCTTGTTTCCCTTACGAAACAGATCTGCAGGAGTGCAAGAAAAACCTTGCTGGGATGAACACATGTTGACATTGTCTGTGACATTTATGATATTCTCAGGGTGGGAGACTGTCCCAAATGCTTTAGAAAGTTAAAAGCAAGTAGCTCTTGACGTGACAGTGAGAATTCTGTGCCGACAGCAGATTCCTCCCCCTCGGATCGCGCGTCCTGCCTCATTCTTCCCTACCGAGGACTTGGCTGCTGACAGTTAGTGCAGACAGGACATTGGTAGCACGAGACAGAAAATCAGACTCAACATAATTATCCATAAAGATCAGCTGCACGGGACCCTTGTCAGATAGCACAGCGACTTTGGGGGATACAGTCAGAGAACCTCACGAGCAGCGTTCTGGGGACCATCTGATCTGTGACGTCCTCTCCCTCTTCTTTCAACGTGTGACATTGCTGTTCCGTATGATGGTGCATTCAGATCACTATTCAAAGCTTGGCCTGCAGCAAGTAACCTGATTTCACTGTGGCTCCGTGCGTCCTGAGCCCTGCGGGTCATCACGGTGGCTTCCGCAGCCCCGCCGGTCGGCCCCATCTCTGCTCCCCTGCGGTCTCGCTCCTATACCCTGGCTCCTTGGCTGGCACTCACACACCCCAGCTGTCCTGCCTCCCAGTCCTGGACTCTGTCTGATGCCCTGGGCCTCGCCCGGTGGCGCTAGCCCTCAGCTTCGCGCTGTCTGCCTCGGTCCACGTGCGCGTCTGCGAGTTCTTTCCTCAGCCTGGGGCCAAGTCCTCCACGCAACCGGCCTCTTAGCCACCAGTTCATGCGAACGTCTCAGCAGATCCCCGTGGGCTGCTCTCCCTCCTCCCCCAGTCTTCCGTCCTGCCACATCAACCACACTGGCGTCCATGAACCCGTCTCCGTCTCCTGTTCTCCGTGAGAATGTCGGGCTCCTCTGTCTCCTCTCCCTGTCCCACTGTCCGGGAAGGGCTCCAGGTAGTGAGCTGGGGCAGTCGGACGGCTCGCCTCGCTCGGTTCCTTTCTCTCGGGGACCCCAGCCCTGGGCTGCCCGACATCCAGGGTCCAGTGCTGGTTTCATATAGATGGTCTGCTTCCTGGGTGTCTGGTGGCCCTGCTATTGCCCATTTCTGGAAATCATTATGATTTTTAAACGTGTCTTTGGAAGGAACATGTTGGAACTTGTATCTTCAGAAATGCTCTTCCGGCAGCACTGTGCTCAGGAGAGAGCCCTCTGCACGGGAGTCACTAGAGCATCAGGTCGCGCGAGTGTCCAGTGGTGAAGCTGACATGCGGGCAGTTGCAGGAGCGGAGATGAGGGACCGAAACGTTTGCAGGGAACACAGACAATTTGGGAACTGCTTGGCGTGTGCGGTGTAGGTGGGGAGCAGTCAAAGGCAACTTGAGCACTGCAGTTAGTGGTGCAATTAAAAGGAGCAAAAGATTATTAAATAATATTCACTTTTAATATTTTATGCTACATATTACAGGAGATGGTGGCCGAAATGTATTCTGGCCCTTGCGTGGCATTGGAGATTCAACAGACGAACCCTGCGAAGACATTTCGAGAATTCTGTGGGCCTGCTGATCCTGTGAGTTGTTTCAATATTGATCGAGTTTGTTTCATTCATTAACGAAATATCTTAACCGGTTCGATAGTTTTAGTTTGCTCTTCAAAAGAAATCTACACATGGGAACGTAATAGACAAAACATTTATTCAGAATAGCATATTACATCATTTTTTTTCTGTAATGCTCTAAGGAAAAGTGCATTTTTGTCAGCCTGTGACAGCATCGGGGGGGCAGGAACACTCACGGTGGCATCCTCTTTTGCTGTTTCTTCTCGCTGATTGTCGGGGTGAGCAAACCGATCAAGCTGTGACAGAAGCTGTCCAGGGCTACCTGTCCCGCCACAGGGCCAGGCAACTCAGCTCTCGGCGTGAGGACGGTCGAGATGGTGGCCTCGGAGCAGGTCCGCCAAGGGGTGTGAGCAGTGGGCCTCGGGGGCTCGGACTTCTCCAGTGTCCTTTTCAGTTTGCTGGGCTGTCTTCACGGGCACGTGGTGGCCGGGCTCAGGGCTGAGAACAGACGTCGCCTTAGAACACACGCGAGGAGTCTCACGCCGGCGTCACAAGCTGATCCTGGACAGTAGCTCAAGCTGTGTTTCCTCCTGCCTTCATGTCACTACGCTTGTGAACAGCTCCCTGCAAATGAGCAGCCGGTCACTGCAGCTGGACCCAGACAGCTGCTTCCTCCTGATGAAACACTTGCTTTCTTCACCGCTGACAGCACCACAGATGTTTGATTGAGACGCATTCACGGAGGCCCTGGGCGGAGGTAGCGTTGGGAGCACCTGGTAAGAAGCCAGCCTGTGGGAGGTGCTGCCGGAAGCCGGGCCGGGGAGAAGGCCGCTCTCAGCGAGGAGCGAGCGCGCCCAGAGGTGCTCCAGCGCCTGGAGGAGCTCAGGAAAGGACTGACACGTGTTCTGCGGAAACGCCGACGTCAAAGCGTGGTTTAGTGAGGGAGCAGTAACGTGACTGTTAGAGGAAGACAGGCGGTTTAAACGGAGTCAGAAGAAGCACCGAGGCCAGAGGATGGGAAGCCCTGCCAGGCATGCACAAGGCGACCACGAGGGACGTGCAGGGTCCTGGGGCACCGCCGGCGTGTGCTCAGCGTGCAGGAGGGAGGGACGTGCAGGGTCCTGGGGCACCGCCGGCGTGTGCTCAGCGTGCAGGAGGGAGGGACGTGCAGGGTCCTGGGGCACCGCCGAGGTGTGCTCAGCGTGCAGGAGGGAGGGACGTGCAGGGTCCTGGGGCACCGCCGGCGTGTGCTCAGCGTGCAGGAGGGAGGGACGTGCAGGGTCCTGGGGCACCGCCGGCGTGTGCTCAGCGTGCAGGAGGGAGGGACGTGCAGGGTCCTGGGGCACCGCCGGCGTGTGCTCAGCGTGCAGGAGGGACGGACGTGCAGGGTCCTGGGGCACCGCCGGCGTGTGCTCAGTGTGCAGGAGGGAGGGACGTGCAGGGTCCTGGGGCACTGCAGGCGTCTGTTGGGCGTGCACAGGAAAAGCACACCTGCCAGTCAGGGAGACATACTTGCTTGGAGGAAATGAGGCGGAGATGCTGGGAGTGAGGAGTGTGGGGTGGGGAGCCTAAAAATCCAGGCTAAAAATTGTGGGTTCTGTGTAATTAGAATTCCATAGAGCAGTAGGAAATAGAAATTCCTGGTTTGTAGCTTAATTTTGAGTGGGCTGAGTTATTCCTTTGCGGGCAAACTGGAAGAGCTTGGAGGCGGGGTTCCGGAGAGGGAAGGGAGCGGAGCCGGTGGCGTGGGGGATCCGCAGGAGCTCCTTCCTGTCCCAGGGGAAGAAGTACTGTGTGTGCACGTGCCAGATGGCTGTGAAGATGGGGTTCTGCTGCCGAGGAAGTTTGGAGAAGGGGGACGACCATGAGTGTTTGTTGAATATCATGTGTGAGAAATAAGGTCAGAGAGATGACGGGCAGACCCGGAGACCCTTGTAATGACAAGATTTTACTCAGCGTGAGAGCATTCGTTTGTGGAGAGTTTGAGCAGAGCAGTGACAGGGTTTGACTTTTAACAGGATCATTCTGACTGTTACGTAAGAGCAGGTCCTAACGGAGACAGGACGCGAATTGCAGCCCAGGCCCAAGATGTGGGGACATGGACCAGGCTGGTAGCCGTGGGCACGCTGGGAGGCAGCCGGGTGTTGTTGACCAGGGTGCTCAGCTTCTGTTCTTCTCGAGTGGATGAGTGGCTCAAGGTTACAACTGAGAACACCCTAGAACTCTGCAGGGACCCTTAGTTCTACGGGGTGGAAGTGGTTGGGGCAGAATTCTCTTCTCTGTTCCGGTTTCATCTCCGGCTGCGATGAGATGGGGAAGGTGAACCATGTCCTTCTCGGTCAGTCCAGGGCACAGTGGTTAGAGAAGGCTTGGTCCCCACCCGAGACACGGCACACTCGCAGCCTGGAACGGGCCACGCGCAGCGGCCATTGCCGGTGTCCATACAGATGCAGGGCACGTGCGGCAGCCTCGGTCTGGAGTCACAGACAAACTCCAGTGGGTTTCCAAACGGGGCTCCGTGACGCATGAGGATTGACTTATTTTCCTCATTTTTAAAATAACAAGTTGGAATGACATTTAAAAAGAAAAATAAATTTTGAAAAGAATTAGCCATGCCTGCCTAATAAAATATCCTGGTTAAAGAAAATAATTTTTCTTGAAGAGTAGATGGCTATGAAAAGTTTAATGCAGTTAGCTTGACAAAGTACAAAATACAATCTAGAAAATTCTTACCTTTCAGATTAACCATTTGTCTTAGATTTTGTTTGCTTTGGAGTTAAATAACACTAAGCCCCAAAACTTGTCAAAGATAACAGCTCTCTCTGTGATTCTAAAAAGATGAAGTGAAGTGACCTAGTAAGAGAGTAATAGAGAAGCAGTTGGCATTGAACTTCCGACTAGACAATCTTTTATAATGTCCCATGAAGATTGAAACAAAGCTTTATTCAAATGTAACAGGACTGGTTCGACAGCAGTATTTTCCCAGAAAGGCAGGAGATGTAATTCCAACTTGTAAGTAAGACCTTTGGAATTTTACATATCCTGTCTGGTAATGTATAGATTTTTCAACTAAATGAACCTAAAATGGAAATATTCTCTCTCTCTCTCTCTCTCTCTCTCTCTCTCTCTCTCTCACACATACACACACACACAAGGAAGAATTATTATAGCTAGCTTAAACAATAACTTGGTTCTTTGACAGTTTTATCAGGTCAAACAATTAAAAAGCCAGTACTTATTAACCCTCCAAAGGAAAACGGACAGAAGGCTATTTTTCTAGAGGATCTAAAACTACCAGTGGACGAGTGTCTCAGCACCACCTGAGAGCAGTTGTCCTCAGAGGAGCACCGATGAGCTGTCCCCCAGGGGAGCGAAGCCTCCCACAGGGAATTCTTTTGTCACATCTGTGCTGTCACCCCGCGTAGGAGGCGGACAAGGGAACATTCTCAGGTTGGCCATGCCCTTCTGGAGTGGAGATGGACCGGCATTGTCGACGTGGTCACGTAGTATATGTAGTCCATGTATTTCTAGAGCCCGGAGGACGCAGCGAGGACTCCTTGTGGGTGGCGGGCAAAGGCTCGCCGTGGGCAGGCTGAGTGTGCACCAGGCACGCAGTCTACGTGAGCAGATTAGTGCCCCTAACCTCCATCCTTGTTGGACTGAGGCGTGTTTGGTTTCATCCAACTGAAACTGACCACTCTGCAGGTGTGGGTACTGAGCATGAGATGACCCAGGTTAGCTCTGTCCCCGTGGGACTGACAGTCTGATGAGGAACACGGTAATGAAACAAATGACGGTGTGAGTGAGTGTGTGTACAACTGTGGTACATGCTAACAGGTGTGATCACTGTGCAAGGGGGGCTCTGGGTCAGCTGAGGTGCAGGGGTTCCTGAGATCTCGTTTCTTCTCAAACCCGAAGGATTGAGAACAGCCCTGGGGGCAGCCTTGACTCTGGGAGAACCTAGTGCATTCTGGGAACTCGGCAGAGTCCAGGTTGGCTGCAGCTCCGAGTGCGGAGAGCAGGGTGGCCTGCAGCTTGGCGGGAGGGAGTTCAGCAGAATGTGCAGGTCGCGTCCCTTCGACCAGTCAGTGATGCGCAAGCGCAGTGGGAATTCTCCGGAAAGGGTTAAGTGAGGATTGATGTGATTACGTTTGTGTTTAAAAGGTCACAGTGACAACTGGGTAGAAGATGGCTTGGAACAGAGTGGTGGTTCTGACCCGAGAGGATGAAAACCCGGCTGATGAGCGTCAGTGGGCGGTGTCAGTGGGCGTTTTCGAAATGCATTTGGAAGGAGATTTAGATGTGGGTGTGAGCGGCCAGGTCGGTGTGGGAGGAAACACAGAAGCAGTGACTAACACCAAGGCCTCTCTCATTGTGTTCATTGTTTACCTGTTCTTCCTGGGCGGTCGATGTGAATTGTAGGTACATGTAAACAGCATTTCCTCTCAGAAGTCGAGTCAGAAATAGGACATAAAGTGCTCTGGAGCTTAAACGGTGTTGCCTGGGCTCCGATCAGCTCTCAGGAACTTGTACTCCTTGGTCCGCTTGGAAAGTTCCCGAGTGTTTTATTTGGAGAAAGTAGTCTGCCCCAGCGGCCCTGATTCAGGTCCTGCCCTGTTGGTTTCATTTCGAACATTCCTCTGCATCAAGTCTCGTAAGAGCGAGAATCGGTAGTCCGGGCTGCTCGCAGGTGCTGCTCGCTGCTTCTGCTTTGGGGATGAAGAAGTGGGTGGGTTAGGTGGTCAGGGTCCTAAACAGATGGCCTGGGAAAAACATTCTTTAAAACCTTGCCGGGTTGAAATCCAACTAATAATATTTTTCTCCTAAATCTGTAACTCTATGGATATCTTTTTACTACTTTATTCTCTCCTATAAATGTGATCCAACCCATTAAAGGTTATATTTAGAAACTTTTTGGGATTGTACCCAGTTTTGGCCTTTAAACCTTCCTATTTATTACCTTAATTTGCTAGAAATCGTGTCGCTTACTGAGAGATCACATTTAATCTTGC